ACAATGCACACTTCTCGCCAAAACTAAAAACAGTGATAACTTAAAGTAATTTGAATGAAATTTTCAATATTTTCATTTTACATAATCTATTTTTGAGCTATTATAGCAAGGATAGTCAGCGCTTTATCTAAATCTTACATAATGTATCTTTACTAAACAAACACACTAAACTTTGTAACCTTTGAATTAAAAGTCTAACTAGTATTCTTAATCGGACATTTTCAATGCTTCGCTAAGTTTCTATTAATTAAATACGTAGCTTTCGTAGAGGCATATTCTAATTATTAAAGATTATAGGATGCCATGTCGCAGTTAAAATATTTATTCCGTACAATTCATTTTATTTCGTTTCAGTAAAGTAAGCCGAAATTAGGACTACTGGTTATAAATTTATAGAATTTGTCTATCCTTTGATAAATAGTTTGACTGTTTATCCCATTTTTGGTACTTTAATACTGTTATTAAAACCAAGTTAATTTCAGATAGTGATATATCTTTAAAGATACTCACCGTGTATTGTTTGAAAGATATAAATTGAACGGAATGCCATCGCCTCGTCAGTATCATGTTTTATTTTAAATTTATGATAATATGAATAAAATATATAAAGAGTAGTTCGCGTATATAAAAAAAAATCAACAAAAATCTTTTCTCTGCAGTGTTAACCTTTTCTTTGCGGTGTAAACTTTTTCTTCCCTGTGGAAACCATTTCTCCGCGATAGAAACCTTTTCTCCGCGGTCCAAACCTTTTCTCCGCGGTGGAAATGGGTGTGTTTTTTTGTGCAAATACTGTCTCTAAGAAATACATTTGTAAAATCGACATGATCATTGTTCTTACGGGTTGATTTAACCATTTCAGGAATGCAATGATGTGTCACGGTGTATGTGTATTGTTAAATTTGACCAATGTTTTCAACTGGCTACACAATTGTCTTTCGATAATTGTCAGATAGCAATAGCTGGTTTAAGCAATGCAGTGACAGTAGAGTTGAGCTTCTCTGTTATGAACCAAGCAAAGGTGGGATCCGAGGAGACTGTTTATAAGGTAAGCATCATTTACTAATTAAAAGATGAATATATTCAAGTAACCATCTTGTTAATATCAAAGTCAGAAGATAAATTAGTTGCCTGTTTAAAATATAAAGTACGAGAGAGAGAAATGGGGTTTAACGTCCACTCGACACAAACTAGGTCATTTCGGGACTAACATATGGTTCAATTTTATTTCCATAATTCGCTTGCGCGTAGGGGTCTTTAGCAGTGGGAGGAAACCGGAGGACCCGCAGATAACCCACGAGGTTGGACAGGCGACCCTTTTCCTTGTCACGCACAGCCGGGGAATCGAAAACATTTATTTGTATATTATTTTTTTTTTTTTTTATAGATTAGTGACATAAGAGAGGTTTCAGATGTGTGTTTAGGTAATTATTACTTGAAAACGTCACAGGAAACAAATCCGACAGATTTCGTATTTTTTAGCAAAAAATATATAATTTGACTCCACCCCACCCACCTCCGATGCAGGTTTTAGCAGACAAAGGGGGTGAAAACTGTAATAAGGGTAATTGATATTAGGTAGTAATTGGGAAATTTTACCCGGATGTCACTGGGAAAAGGTAGTAAGTGCAAGGACGTAAGTGGCATATAGACAATGGTTGTAGCTGCAACCTAACATGCCTTAATCGCAAATGCCAGTGTACATATCATACTCCATAGATTAATCCACCACAGACTACACGAAGGAGGGATATAATATACTCTATTTCGTAGAGTTTAGCCCTACCTCAGTGCATAATAATAGGAATATATTGTGTATAAAATGGTTCAGTTTCGTTCAGATAAATGTATTTTCATCGATCTATGCTACTCGAGCGTAACAAGACGACACCATCTTTTTATAATATGGAAATGAAATGAAATGAAATGAGGTTTAACGTCCTGCCACAATTGGGCTAATGAAGACGGGCCTACACCATACAATGTGTTATGAGGGAAATTTTATCCGGACAGGGGTGCTACGGCCTACTCTTATATCGAATCACAACTGCAATTGGATCTTTTACGTGCACGCCAATGTTTCCACGTGACCTTGGTTTTTCGTCCCATCCGAACGACTATGCGGCTGTCCTTGTCAGTCTCTCCATCCTGCGTTACTTTTATATATGGAGTTAATGTCTATACCTTTAAAAGAATACACAAAATATTGCAATTAAACATACATTTATGAAAGAGCTAAATCTGCCAATTGCAGGTCTTTCTTTAGGCCTGAAATGTTATCTAAATTATTAATTAGATATTAATTAACTTATCCAGACCTTAATCAACTCTCGTGGTATCGCTAGCCTGCGATATTTACTGGATTAGAACTCTGTCTGCTGCTTCTGATTAAATCAAAAAATGGATAATCGAGACTATGTTTTTTATCGTACCGATCGAGGTTAGGCCCAAAATCCAATCGCTAAATACTCGGTTCAGGGTGGATCAATTTGACTGATATTTTCAGCAAATTCGCTTTACATTATCTGGTTTTTAACTTTTATAGTGAGAAATACCAGCTCATTATCTAATCTCCCATAATGTATCTTTAATTTATTGATTTTTATTGTATAGGTCCAGCGGGATTATCAGGCGGTGCCATAGCCGGTATATCTATAGGTAAATATGAAGTAATACATCATAAACATCTTTCCGAATTCTTGCATGGAACCTCTGCTTTATTTGATCCCGCTCGACTTTAATTCTATCTCCTCCGTTTAAGTATTACTGTTTTATTACCCACGATATGAACGTGAAGCATGTTTTTAAAGACAAGAGGTTGCTCTTTTTGAGTTCAGATGAACGGAAGTTACCAATTGGTTTATGTTTATTACGACATTTCTTGGTAACGAAGATATCAATTGGAATTATGTAAGGAAGATATCATAGGGTCCAAAATGATAACTAACCTAATGTGTAATCGGAGCCCCAGTTTTTCGTCCATCCGATCGACAGTACATTGGCCCTTGCCAGACACTTCGTCTTGCACCACTGACAAGCGGGAACAACGCCGGAAAAAGCGATGCACTTTCTCGACCAAGGTAGGGATCGAACACGGAACCTCAAGGTTAGCGAGCCAACGTCTTACTCACTGAGCCACGGTGGCTCCAGGTGTGACCTTGTTGATTGTTAGAATCATAACTGTGGCGATTTTTTTTTGTTAGGTGTGATCTTGTTGATTATCATAGCTGTGCTGATTTTCCTGTTCCTCACCAACCGACAACCTTTTACCGAAAGAAGAAAAGAAAGGGGAACAGTGTATATTAGAAATATGCTTGGTAAACCAACAGCAACAAATCAACATACTGCTAGCCCGTCTTCATCTTATCCTGTAAGTGACAACAAAGTAATATTAATGGTAACTATGTGAACAAATAGGGTATTACATAATTAATAAAGATTTAAAGAACCGCGATCAGGTCGTTTTGCCATGTCTTTATCTCACCCCTGAAGTGGCCAAAATACCGAGAAAACAAAAAAAGAGTAATTCACTAGCACAAATTAACTATTGGTAAGTAATCCCATTGTTATTTGACTATAATCCGGTACTTATAGAGTAAGCCGCGACTATCGGTAGTGATTGTCGTTTAAACTATAACTGTTCTCATCACAGAACAACGCCTATCGTGCTGATGAAGATGAGGTATACTATTATGGTGGAATGGATTTCCAGAAAGGACAGTCGTGGCAAATTCCTCACGACCATTTAGCACTATTGGGAACTATTACGGAGGGAAAATTTGCTAAGATTTGTCAAGCGAGAATTCGCAGCAGATCTGAACAAGTTGTAGCTAAAATGCTCAAAGGTGAGTTTTAAAGACAGTCTTTTTGATCCCGGCCCAAAATGAGATACTAAATATAATACTCGGACATGGGGGGGGGGGGATAGCGCATGCGCGTTGTATCATAAGGTCTGTCATTGAGTCAACTGGCGTGGTTTCGATTCCCCGGTTGTACGTGACAAGGAGTAGGGTCGCCTTCCAATCTTGTCGGTTTTCTCCGGATCCTCCGGTTTCCTCCCATTGCTAAAGACCCCCACGTGCAAGCGAACTATTGAAATGAAATTGAACCATATGTTAGTCCCGAAATGACATAGTTTTGTCGTGTGGATGTGAAACCCCAAATCTCTCACTCTCTCTCTCTCTCTCTCTCTCTCCCTCTCTCTCTCTTTGTCGTTTCTTTGGCTAACCTATTTCAAGCTGAATCTAAAGTAGCCATTTTATCGAACGTAGAGTGCTTTATGATTTGCTTTAAAAACAGGCCCTTTCTGCAAAGATTATCCAGTCATATTTTGTCAGAAAAAAGGCCTACGCCGGTTTCCAGGCGTCTTAACAAATAATTATTACTGACGGGCTAAAGACTGGCGATTTACCGATAAGTTCGAATGATGGCTGTGTGCACGTGCTCATGCTTTTGAGACTTGGGTAGTTATCTGTCATTATAGTATTGCCATCCAATAAACTTATTTCCCGCTTGCAGTTAGGAACCACACCTCCATTCATTCATATTTTTGGAATATTGCTAATCCGACCTTCCTAAAAGTAAGATTGGCTGTATCTTCGAAATTAATAATTCCCATCCAACAACTTAATTCCCACTTGCAGTTAGGAGCCACCCCCGCCCCATTCATGCATATTCTCTTGATATTGCTAATCCAACCTTCCTTAAAGTAAGATTACCTGTATTTTCGAAATTGATAATTCCTAAAACCGCCAGTCATTACCGGAGTATATCGAGGAAAACTGACTGTTAAGGAAAGAGATGTAATAAGATATGAGATAATTGTGGAGTAAACTATGTATCCATAGCGACACCAATCACCTGCTGAAAACCTTCTCACCTGAATTACTTGTTAATACGAATAAAAACTTTGATAGAATATAGGGTGTTAGAATACCCATACTATGTTATTATTGATCTTAAACCGTTAAACGTTCTTTTGTCTTGATTATTTTGTATTATAGATGGGTACACGTCTGATGATGAAATCTTTATGAGGGCCAAGGTAAATTATAATGCAACAGTAGTTGGTAAAGATCCAAATGTACTAGAGTTTATTGGTGCTGTTGTGGATAATGAAGTCTGTAAGTATTTAAACGGAATAATTTTATCAGTTATTCTGTGGGGTTGGGATGGCCTAGTATAGTCTAGATGTCGCGCTTCGAACGCTAAGCGCTAGCTGGCCGGTCACCTCTGACTTGCGGTCGTGGTTTTGATCCCTGGTGTGAGTGTATCTGGCTTCTCAACCTCGTGGGTTTACATCGGTTACACCGGTTTACTCCAACAGAAAAGACCCCTCCACGTGTGCTAAACATAATAGAATAAGACAACTTGTCTGCGATGTAACCCTCAGTTTAAGCGGACGTTAAACACTAATAGAAGAAGTAGAAGAAGAACCGTTATTATTTCGCATTGCAATGTTATGATATTCTGTCATTTCTAAACGCCCGAAATTATTGGCCCCAGTGCAGTTTTTTTTTAAATATACCTTGTATACGTTTCTCATCGATCAAAATTCGGGATAGCGAAGAGGGATAGGTTTACAGCATATGTAATAGTGTAAAAAATTCTAAATTACATTATAATAAATTCCATATTGCCGATGTTGATATTGTGGATCATATACAATTTGATATACAATAACAATATCGTCATTTATTAAGCGTATTATTATTAAAGAACAGTTTCTAAGGCGCCGTTAGTAGTTATATTTACTGATGTTTTACAGAATATCACGGTTTAGAAACAAGAATGTTTTGACTTGAGATTTAAAATGGCCCACTAACATTAATTGTTTCATTGACCGTGGTAGTTTATACCACAGAAAGGGCTTAACGTAGGACAAATCGCCATACAGGGCTACATCTTAGGTCACCCTCGCTCTCATCAATGGCATCATCTACCGATAACCAAGTAACATATGACTTCTATTTTGGCGGTTTGGTGTGTCTGAAATCACTGCATTTAATAAATTGTTGAAATAGATTCTATATTGTATTCTTTATTCTATGCTGCTGATATTACACTATTTTACTGGTACCGGTTTTTATATTAGAATATTGTATTTGATATTATTATATTTTAATGGAACCTGTATTAATATTAAAATATTGTAAATGGTGTTGTGGTATCGCCATTACTATATTCTAGTTGGATATTATTATATTTTAATGGAACCTGAATTAATATTAGAATATTGTAAATGGTGTTGTATTATCTATATAATATTTTATTGCGACAGTGCTGATATTAGAATATTGTAAATGGTATTGTGATATCGTCGTTACTTTATATTCTATTAGGACATGTGTTAATATTAGAATATTGTAAGTGATATTGTATTATCGATATTGTATTTTAGTTGGGCCAGTGTTGATATTAGAATATTGTATATATATGTATTATCTGTATTACTACTTTTTAATGGGCCATGTGTTGATATTAAAATATTGTTAATAGTGTTGTATTATCGATATTAATATATTTTAGTGGGACCAGTTTTGATATTAGAATATTGTGAACAAGGGCAACTAGATAAATGGCTACTAAAACAACGTGGTGATATTAACGATGACACAATTGAAATTTTACAAAGAATTGCCTTTGATGTATGTAAAGGAATGGCTTACCTTGCGTCAAAAAAGGTAAATATTTTGGACTGATATTTAATGTAAACGTGCTTACCTTGAAAATACAATGTTCTTATCTTAGTAAAATGTTAAAACTTTGTCAAAAACTAAAGCTCTGTTCATGGAATTGTTGTCTATTGAAAATTATCCAGGTGCACAGAACAATGTTTACTGAAAGAAGTTCCAAATGTATGAACATTTTTCCATGTCTTCGTCTATATGTCTGTTATGGGTCTTCCGAAATTGTTCGAATAATATTAATCTTTAATTCACATGATAATATTCTATATCAATGACTGATTCCGTCAGAATTTCTTTCCTTGCTGAAGAGCTTGACTGTACCATATGTTTTTGTTTAGATTGTTCATCAAAAACTAGCGGCAAGAAATGTGTTGTTGACATTTACAAGAGTAGCAAAGGTAGCAGGATTCGGACCGTCAAAACCAGAAAAGGAAACCATCAATCACTATGATAACGCTTCAAATGCCAAGGTAAAGGGATAATTTGTAAATTCTAATATTCAGGATGAGATTTAATCAGTTCTTAACTTAAAGATTAAAAATGATATGGATAAATAGAAAAACGATTACTTGCATGTGAACTTGTTTTACAGAAAGAACGAATTCCCATCAAATGGACCGCACCGGAGTGTCTGGTATCCCTGAAAGATGCCAATGAAAAGAGTGATGTTTGGTCTTATGGAATTGTGTTGTGGGAAATATTTAGCCTAGGTATATATGTATTTATTAATGTATTTTATGTACAACAAACATTATTAGGTAAATGAAAAGTAAAAACATACAGTTCGGGAAAAGCATGTACAATGGTAGAAATAATTTGGATTTAGGAGAATAGAAACCATATAATTATATTATAAAGTATAATGTCAAAGAAATACAGTATTCATGATAACTTATATTGATTACAGGAGAGACCCCATACAATGATATGAAGAGTCGTGACGTAGAAACTAAAGTGAAATCTGGTTACAGAATGTCCAAACCTGAAATATGTGAAGATTTGTAAGTTAAGCGTTTAATCTGAAATAGTGTTTTATCGGTGCTTATATTTCACTGCAACCGGTAGTCTCTACAATATTATGTTGGGATGTTTCATATTTTCAGACTTTATGCCCCAATGCTCCATTCGCATTTTTAGCTAAATTAACCCTCGCTAATACGTACTTAACATAAGAAAAAAGAACACAAATATATCAAAATACCAAATCTAGATAATATCTTTTGCGAACAACAAAATGGCGACGGATTTATTGCCTAGCGAGAGGCATAGATCGGTGAAATTTCCATTCCACATATCTTTGTAAATGCTGAACGGAACTGAAATTAGAAATTCATGGTTCACAGTAGTGATTTTATAGCGCTAAAATGACGCATCGGGATTTTAATTTTGTATTTTAATATTTGTAGTCACGGTAATATTTATAAAACAATGTTTTTTAATAATGTTATATTGAATTCATATGATTTCGTATACTAAATTATTTTCGTTATAATTTTCAACATGTTGTCAGATTCAAAATACTTGTGATTGTGGTATTATTTTCATAGAATCAGCGTGGTTGTTATAGTCGGTATTTTAAGACATTTAAATATTTACCGAATGATTATGGTAATGTTATTTATATTTACAGTCATTATGATGTGATGAAGAACTGCTGGGAGGAAAACCCAAAGAAACGACACAGCTTCAAGACAATCAAGGGTCATATTGCCAAGACATTTAGTACCAACACTCGTGACAGTGTTTATTATTACAAATAAATAACACATTTTACAAATGGTGGCAAATTTTCCATTTATACAAATATATTATATTTATAATCCGTAGTTGTGCTATTGTAAAAATGCTCTTTATACTTGTCACCCTCATTTTTATTGCCAGGGCCTTTCAAAAATTAACAATTTAATCTAACTTTAATCATGCATATTTTATTATAACAAACATGTCATCATCGCTGTAATTGCTACTTCTACGGGGTAAGGATACATTTTGCTAGTAGTAGGAAAAGCCTAGGTGATATTATATAGAAGTGAATGGTCTCTTGAAAACAATGAGTATTTCAATATATATTTGTCTAAAATGATAAACCCATTCCAACCGTGTCTGTTTATTATTGATATTGTAGTGTGGCACTAATTAATTAAAAGGGCTTCTGAAATGGATGGAAATATATTATTTAGTTTGTATCCACCACGAGATTATCTAACACAATTTATGTCTAGTTTTAATCTAACAGGGAGCCAATGTGGCTCAGTCAGTAAGACGTTGGCTTGCCAACCCGGAGGTCCTGTGTTTGATCCTTCCGTTGGCCGATAAAGTTCATTATGTTTTTTCAGGCGTTGCCCCGCCTGGTCAGTGGTGCAGGACAGAGGACCTGGCAAGGGACAGCGTATAGTCGTTCGGGTGGGACGAAAAATCGAGGTATCGTGTACACTTTGGCGTGCCCGTAAAATATCCCTTGGCAGTTGGAATTCGATATAAGAATAGGTCGTAGCGCCGGTATATCCGGGCAAAATTTCCCTCATAGCACACTATATGGCTTATGTCCGACTTCATTAGCAGTAGGACGTTAAACCCAATTTCATTTCATTTAATCTAACAAATTACGGTTTAAATAACATTTGTCAACGCTTGCGTTTAATTTAATTTGTATTATTCTGTGCTAAATTTGAGACAAATCACCCAAGTCATCAATTTACGAGTTATTAAAATGTGTTAGTGGTATTAAACGGGTAAGGCGATTGCCTTAACCAACATGGGCGATTGCTTGGGTGATTAACCAACATGGACGATTGCTTGGATGATTTTGAAAATAAAGTTCAAATTTAAATACCTTTATTTTCTTGGTGATAATGCCTCGTTAAGGGTATATATTGATAATTTCCAATAAATATTAAATAAAATAACTGAATTAAAATCAGTCGAATTTTATAAAGTTTATGATGTACATATTTGCATATTAACCATAGCATTTTACATTTGTTTATGTTGTTTTATTTTCGTCAGAGGTTCTGTATCAGGTTCACGTCTATTGTGCGTATATCCAGAATAATTCTGAAGCTGAGTGTCTTTTCTCTTTGTTAGGTATGTACAGAAATATGAGGGTAGTTACTTATGTATGTATTTGGATCACTGCTTTATATATTTGCATTATTGTTAATAGAACCCTATAACGAATAAATAAATAACTAACAGCTTATACATTGAACGTTTACTAGAAATTTATTTTTGAGCTTGACTACTATGTGGTGCACTTAGCTCTTGATTACTCTGTGTTGGGGGCAGTTTGTGTCATTGCTGTGTCCTGAAGGATGACTCATGGGATAGGCTCGATGTTGAGTGGGTGACAATAGTTTATCTCAAAGGAACCATAGAACCGAAAGAAACTTTGCGGTTTGAACTGTCTAAAGTCATCTTTAGATATTCCCAAACTAGACGTTGAATGGATGCAGGAACTATATGTATAGAGTCTGGGGTGTCGGGCGGTTAAGTTCCAATTTAAAGGCCGAAGAAAATAAATTAACACAAAATCACGTTGGGCACATTTTTGCGCATGCCCCATATATAAACAATTGCTAACCAAAGTGTGTCCGTCCCTAGAACAGCAATGTGCCGGATAATACTCACATGGAATTTTTAAAATAACCAATACTCTTTAAATAAACTTTGCGTGACAAACTCCATGCCCATTAATATATTTCAATGTAATTTATAAAAATTTACATTTGCATATTCCATGACACCCAATTCTCCTTGAAATATCTTCGTCATATAATTACATGGGGTTGGTGTAAAGATGCGCTATATAAGATTTAATAACGATCTGGACGTTCTTGTTGTTATAGTTCAAACATAGATAATGAAAATGCATATATTGAAGGGCATGACAAGGAATAGCGCCCAGTCGTTTGGATAGTACCAAAAACAATGCTAAAACCAGTTAATCGTAATGGATTTGGATATATCTATATGTAAATATTATGCATATTGGTATGTATCGACACAAGGCATATAATAAAAAAAACTCACATTAAAGCCCTTCGTATTGGTAGTCCAACAATCTCGGTGTTTCTTATCATATCCAAATGTCTGATCCTGATCCAGGCCGAACCAATACTAGACAGGGACAGATTAGTAAATCTGGTGAAATGATTTTCCCAGACAAGGAGGCTGAAAATGATCTTATCGCCATTATGCAGTCCGTAAAGAAAGACATTGCAGAATTAAGATCAGAAGTAAAAGACTTAACTATTAAAGAAGAAGTACAGGTAATAAAGGAAGAAATTAAGAACCTTAAAAGTGAAAGTGTCAGTTTCAGAAAATCGAATAAGATAACACAATCTAATTTTCTATGGGTTGAAGGAAAGGGACATTTTTGAAGCAAAAAGTGACTGTGAACAACTGATTTGAAACTAGATGACCACAACTCAATGACAAAATCTGAAAGGATCTACAGATTAGGGGTTAAAAAGAATTCAAAACATAGACCAAGGCCAGTGTTAGTCGTATTTACAAGTTTGAACGATAGGGACAGTGTATTGAGAATGGCAAAAAAAAAAACCAACAAAAAAACTGACTCACAAACTGCTGTTTCAGAAGATTTTACTGAACGGGTTGAAAGATGTAGCAGACATCTCCAAAGTTTCAAGTCTGTACCACAAAAACTCTTTGTTTAACTGGCGCTCAAAAAATGTGCTCTAAATGAGCTCCCCGGTGCTCGATGACCCTCCCACATTCTTCCCTTGGGATCGCTTTTATTGCTGCTGTGATTGCTGCCTTCAGATCAGGGATAGTCTGGGGGTTGTTGCCATACACCCTGTCCTTAAGGTATCCCCACAGATAAAAATCTGGGGCGTTCAAGTCCGGTGAATGCGGCGACCACTCCGGGTCACACCTGCGGCTGATCAGTCGGTCAGGGAAACGCTGCTGTAGCCATGCCAATGATTCGTTTGAGGTGTGGGGGGTGGCACCATCCTGCTGGAATCACTGGAGGTCCCTGACGACCCCTCTTCGTTATTCAAGTTTAGGTGATGAACGCTTTTTTTGTGTCACCCGGTAGTTAATGCCACCTCCCAACGCCAAAACTTTGTAATTTTATGTCCTCTATTTTAATAAAAGAAAAGTAGTAGGTATCAACCAATATCACTGTAAGAAGCTTCAATGTATTAAATATTAAGTATATTTTTTACATTTGTATCTATTGTATATTTAAACGTATTAAATTATTAATTAAGTAAGCATTCTAATTGAATAATTTACTTATACATAATCATATACGTTTACATTATAATTATCAATGATCAATATATAAAAAAAAAAATATATTTATTAAATTTTTATATATAGCTTGGGCAGGGTAAGCTTACTCTTCTGGACACCTGTTACCACTGTTTGTCGTGTATTTTGTACACGAGGAGCAGTCCATTTGCTGATTACACTATTTTGCTTGAATACACTATTTTGCGTCTATAACGTTTTTTAGGACTTCGAATTCTGTCTTATGGTTTGGATTGTTCGTACTTGGTTTTATTTTATTAATTACATATTTATATTAAATAACTAATTATCGACAATTTATATTTAATATTAAATTCAGACTCGGAATATTATATCTATCTGTCAATGAATGACATAACTAGTATATATCAAATCGTTGTTTTGTGCATTACAATCATATTTATATTCCTCCCAACAGTCTTTTTATTTGTAATTATCAGAGCCTTACGATAATTTGAATTCATCTTGGTTTTTTTTGTCTCTCAAAATTGTGATGACAAATTGTACTATGGACCTTCATACATGAAATAAAGATTATTATTATTTATTATTTTAAAAAATCGCGATCACATAGGATTGGGCGCATGTTAAAGATCTCTTTAAATTTGGAGCATGTGGCGTATCCTCGTCTCCATAAGCGCAGTCGGTGCCGGCAAATGGGCGTTAATCCAACTCCATTTGTAATCACTTGTCAGGGATGACGCCTTCGGGATTCACAAGACATGTATGGTTAGTTGTTCAATTGAACCCCCCCCCCCACCCTCTCCGCCGCCTCACCCACCCTCTCCGCCGCCTCACCCACCAACGCATTTTACACAGTCTTAAAATTACCGTAATAGTGTGTCAAAATACTTTATTACTGGTTAAAGGGAAATAACTCCATTATCAATTATTTGTGTAGTTTAATCATTTATTTACTTAAAAGCCATATTGGCATATATTTCCATAAACATAATAGCAAAATATATAGAAATATTGGTTATATCAGAAGACAATAAAAAAGAACATGTATTGGACTTGCATAAATTTATATGACTTATATTATATATACTTTTGCGCAAATTCAAACAACGTTATAAATTTAACAAAACTAACCCAAGTCATCTTTTCACCACACGAATGTAGTACCACTATTTAATAGTTGGTTCTTTATTTCTGGCTGCTCTCAAATTGGGAGCAAAGTGAATGGATATCTTAAAGTCTTGGTTCGTCGTTTAGAATGTTTTTATCATATCTAATGCAAATTACAATTTCGTGAAAGTTAGTTATTTACGTCTCAAAATGTGTCACTCACTTTCCGTTTTTTACAAAGATATGATGAATTGAAAAATTGTCAACATTCGGCATCCTCTGCGGACGAATTAAACGGTATTTCAAAATAATTCAGCGACACCTACAATATTTGAAAAAATGTTTTGATGGGTCTCTTTTAAGTTGATTGATTCCAAACCAGTAGATCATCTATCGTCGGTACTTTGATTTTTTTCTTAATGTTAAATAATCAATTTGGGTATATTTTAGCTTTAATTCAGTGATGAAAATTAGACCTTGTCCGAAAATTACTTGGAACATGGTGAAATGGTCCTTGACGTGACTGATAGTTTTGGATTTGTCTTGTCATTTAGATTAAGTTGGGTCGGGTCTAAAGTAAATGTAAATGGACAAAGTTTCTGTACACGCAAAAATTGGCAAAGGAAAATATGCAAAAGTTGCATTCGTTTACACAATTATTTATTTGATATAAAATAGAACAATGTTTTATTACACCAATTGGCTATATTGCGCCAAAACAAAAATGATGATCTTTACGTGGCAAATTTTTTTCATAAACCAGCGGCTGCCAGGCAAGATACACCCACATGTTGCAAGAGATGGATAGAGAACAAGCTAAACAAAAAGCGAATTATTCTTACAATCAAGGGCCATAATTCAGGAATATCGAAAGAAACCAAGATCTTTAGGTTATAAACATGTATTTCGAGTTTCATCAGAATCGGAACAAAATTGTGACTTCTAGAGGGTCCACAACCTTGATATACCACATATTTATACTATTTGCGTACGCGGGGTGGCCATTTTGTCTGGCAGTTTTGGTCCCATTTTCACGAAATTCGACCTCAGCCGTCATTTGGGTGTAACGGTGATATATTCAAACGTTTCTTTAATCGGATAAAAATTGTGACCTCTAGAGGAACCACAAGCTAAAAACGCGATATTTTGTAAAATCAAGGGCCATAATTCAGGAAGTTACGATCCAATATTCACAAATATTGACAGGGACCAACACCTGTGGTTTATAAACATGTATTTCAAGTTTCATCAAAATCGGATTAAAATTATGACCTTTAGAGGGTCCACAACCTTGATAATACCATATATTTACACTATTTGCGTACGAGGAGCGGCCATTTTGTCCGGCAGTTTTGGCCCGATTTTCACAAAAATCGTACTTCGCCATCGTTAGGGTGTATAATAACGACGATATATTCGACTGTTTTCTTTTTTTAAATAAGATAAAAATTGTTACCTCTAGAAGGAATACAAGCTAAAAACATAATTTTTAGAAAAATCAAGGGACATAATTCAGGAAGTCACGTACCAATATGCGCGAATATCGAAAGGAACAAAGATCTTTGGGTTATAAACGTGTATTTCAAGTTCCATCAAAATCGGATTAGAATTATGACCTTATATAGAGGGTCCACAACCTTGATATACCATATTTTTTACACTATTTGCGTACGAGGGGCACCCATTTTGTTCGGCAGTTTTGGTACGATTTTCACGAAATTCGAACTCATGCATCATTACAATATAAAGGTGATATATTCGAACGTTTTTTTTTTAAATCGGATAATAATTGTGACATGATTTTTTGTTCAAGTTACGATCCGATATGTGCAAATAGGAGGTCCACAACCT